TCCAGATTAGAGGGGTTCCACAGGTAGCATTATGATAAGTGTGGTGTGATAGTCGCTAAGTAAACGGTTGTGTTTTTGCGAATAAAGCTTTCTTAAGGACTTCTCTACACAGATTTGCCCCAAACAGGCAAAGCTCTTCTGGAATGTTGTCAACAGAAAGTTTACATGACATGTACATTTAGATACAGAATCTGCAGGACTTTAACATGAACGGTACAAGTTAAACACAAGGTGCTAACATGTACATTACAAGCGTTGTACAAAAACTACAACTTTCATACGAGTGTTGTAAAAGAATAACTACATACTACATCACGAGAGGTGGTGGTTGGAGGTCTTCTAGTAGTTGCTTGTGAGATGAGATGGTGTTCTTGATACTCATACAGTTACAGAGACAGCTGTGCCCTCTGTCACCAGATGAATTGTAAGAGGCTACACTGAATAAGAATCTTATATTATATGACGACTAGTGTTTCTCTGAGCCTTATAGCCAACATAAATGGCAAACTTGTACGAAAAAATGTAATGCTGTGTGTAATTATATATGTGGGCATGACAACAAACATTTACATGTAGAAGAACATTACGACAATTCAGGGTCTAGTTCAGCAGCGCGACTACCCCAGTGTGCTCCGCATGCAGCTTTGTTGCGTACTTGCATTACGCTTTAAACTTGCATAGAGTTATTTTGCTGGCCTTTAGGATGAGTTGGGCGTGGTACATGTGTATTGTGATGCATGATTAAGTCGACCAATCACTCCAGCCGATACATCACCACATGCATGCATTGTATGTATGTACGAGAGTTATCCAGACGCCAATGGGACGGAAGAAAGTGTCCATATTAGTGAGGTGTTCACATGCAAGAACCGTAATTGAAGGTTTAGAGTGTCTTTAGAGAAGGTTCCACTACTGTATGTAGCATGGTGTGTTTGTGGCTTAATGGATGGTCATTAAGTGAGTGCTGCATTTATGACAGACGGCTTCTGTCTGGCTGGCAAAGTCGAATTGACAGTCAACATTAAATGTGCCTAGGTGGCTAAGTACTTTGCATAGCCAGCATACATACATGTATAGGTGTGTACTTATGTACAGCCCAGCCAGCTGAGCTGCCTCAGTTGGTAGAGCACAGAGTGCTCTGCCCCTTGCTCTGTATAAGTGATTCAGCCCAGCCAGCTGAGCTGCCTCAGTAGCTCAGTTGGTGGAGCCCTCTCTAGAACACAGAGTGCTCTGCCTTGCTCTGTATGAGTGATTCAGCCCAGCCAGCTGAGCTGCCTCAGTAGCTCAGTTGGTGGAGCCCTCTCTAGAACACAGAGTGCTCTGCCTTGCTCTGTATGAGTGATTCAGCCCAGCCAGCTGAGCTGCCTCAGTAGCTCAGTTGGTAGAGCCCTCTCTAGAACACAGAGTGCTCTGCCCCTTGCTCTGTATGAGTGATTCAGCCCAGCCAGCCGAGCTGCCTCAGTTGGTAGAGCCCTCTCTAGAACACAGAGTGCTCTACCTTGCTCTGTATGAGTGATTCAGCCCAGCCAGCTGAGCTGCCTCAGTTGGTAGAGCCCTCCCTAGAACACAGTGTTCTGGATGAGTGATTCAGCCCAGCCAGCTTCTAGCCACGTAACTTTTGTGGCCTTGTGTGGGTGTATCAACTTACACTGAAAATTTTTGCGATAACCCTGGTTGACAGCTTGGAACCCTTTACTACCATGTACTATCTTATGTCCTCTCCCTTGTCCTAGGGTTCAAAGTATGTCACTGCTATGATATAAGAAGGAAGCAAAGTTTAAGCATAAAAGACTCTTTAACCTACCACCGGTTCTCAAGGCTGGGCACCCAGGGTCCTGCCTCTTTCTTTCTGTTTATATGTTATTGTCTGTGTTTTTGTACGCTTGGGTATGTTATTGTCTGTGTTTTGTGTGCTTGGGTGGGGGAGGTTCTTTCTTTTCCTCTGAGCTAGTATGCTATAAACATGTTTTTTCATGCACAAGAGAAACCAGAAAGTGCTCGTGTCACTCAGTAGGTTCACACGTTCTCTTTCGAGGTACATACATATACATGGGCTGCATTGCTGAACCAAAATTTGTAACCGCTTCAAGTATGCAATCACTTGTGAATAAAGCAGAAAAACCTGCAATGTTACAAGGAAGGGTTTGTGAGAATTTTGGTTTATGTGATTGTACAGTTGACTGCACGGGTTTGGGTTTTGGGAATGCCAAAAATGCAAATATAGTAGGCAAATATGCCTGTCTCATTAGTTGGGTGTGTGGGTACACGTGGGCGTGGCAGAAATCGACTCTCTCTCTCCTTACTTCTTCTACTTCCCTCACGTTACTCACCTTCACCTCTCTCCTTTCTTTCCCACCTCTCTCTATCTCCTTCTCTTTACTGCTCCAGATTTTTTTCTGGGGCGAGGGGGGGAGAAATTTGCCCCCTTCCCCCCATGGTTTGCGAGAGGGGAAGAAATCAGATAATGCCTTGCCACCCCTGAACTATGGCTCAAATGAGACATTAGCTTGGCATTTCGGTCCGTCTTCTGAAACAATTCCTAAAAAATACATTCACGGGGCCCCTTTCTACTCTCTCCCCCACCTTCCTCTCTTGTGGAACTGACGGGAGGGTGCAAATTTCATGCCAGCATAGTCTGATCAAATTCTAACTTTTATGCTCTCTTATTAATATCCACCTGTGACACGCATAGGAGATTATGGGGTGGGTTTGAACCTCGCACAAGCAGACACTTAATCTTTCGCTTCACCTCATTCTGCCCCCTCTCTACTGTTACAATACAGTGCACACACACACACACCCTATCCCCCTCCCCGGTGCATACCACAGCCTTATTAGGCCAAAAGTGACCACTAATAATTGTGGTCGACGGGACCAAAATGGGCAACAACACAAGAACGGGTGATTACCAAAGCCACAGATACTTGGCACAACACCTGGGGTCAGTATTGACGGCTCTAATTCACGTCAGCTTCAACTGAACACTGTGTGGTTAGTTGAGCTGGTCAAATACTGACGCAAGTTCTTGCGTGTGTTGTGCAAGTAACACTTGAAATCTTTACGCTTCCGGTATCTCACGTAGTGACGCAAACGTTAATTCTATTTTTTCCGTGCGTCAATCTGTGCTGCGATGCAATGACACGTGATGCACACACACACACACACACACACACACAAGGTCTTAAAGAGATAAAGAGAGGAGAGTGGAAGGAGAGAAAGAGAGACGAGTAAACATGGAACAAGGGGGAGGTTGTAATAGAAGAGGGGGAGATGGGGCAAAACGAGAGAAGGGTGAAAGAATAGGTGTGTGTTTGTGCGAAATTCAAACCCAGGCCCATATCTCGTATTCACCGGCAAGACCTTACCATCTGTGCCAAATGAAACACTATATTTCTGCCGCCTCGTGTTTGTTTCGCCTCACATCGAAATAAACAGGTCTTCCAGCCAACAGGAAACCAGTTATAACATAGCGCTGATATTGTATCGTTGGTAAATCCCAAGATAGTTGTTTGATGAATGGTGTAGTGACTTGGGTTGAACGAAATTTACAATGTGAGGTTTTAAAACATACTTTTGTTTTGAAATGCTGCTTTTTCAACAAGGAGTATCCAACCGACAGACAGACAGACAGACCCAACTACAGTAACCCTCGCTGCGCATGCGCGCCGAGGGTTAACAAGGAGTATCCAACAGGCTCAAAAGCCATAGAAACCTGTTGGAACCCTATAGTCTAGACACCCAATGAAACAGAAGAATGTGTTGAAATAACTGTTCTAGGGGAAAGAACAGGTGTCCTCTCATTTCGGGGGTGACCTTAGAGAGTTGATTGTCCATACGTAAAAGTGTGTTTGTGTGTTTGTGTCTATTTAGTCCCTTGGGAAATTATTGAGTGAATAATGTGTGGAGGTTGGATAAGGAAGGTAAGTTTCTGGGGTTACACCATTTGTATCGTATTTCTTCTTTTTTATTTGCGTACATTTGTCAATCCTTCTCTAGTACATTTTCTATCTCCCACTATTGTTATGTAGGTGCTGGAGAGTCTGGCAAGAGCACAATCGTAAAGCAAATGAAGTAAGTCATTGCCACACCCAGTGTATATGTAATAGTGATGATGGCATCCGAGTGGGCTATTTCTAGAAGTTTCTAGAAGTTTCTCCACGTTCATGTTGTACGGTATGCATGAACAGTCAGTGGCCCACATGCATGCACCATGCACACAGAGAAGGTAATGGACGTTCAGTGTTACACAAACTGTTACAGCTTAATGGCTTTCAACTTCAAGACTGCTTCACAAACCTTTGCTTGCGTCTTCACAAGCCTGTTACAGTGTGCAACTCACTGCCTAATGCTTTACAAGTCTTTTATATAGTGCCAATAATTATGCTTCATATCGTGCAAGTGTGCTTCACAAAGCCACAGAACGCCTACATAGACTGTGCCAGCATCTGTGCCAGTATGCTTTATAAAGCTACCTTTAGCTTTCACACCTCCATGAACTGTGCCAGCATTAGCCTTATACTCTGAGCCAGTATGCTTTATAAAGCTACCTTTAGCTTTCACACCTCCATGAACTGTGCCAGCATTAGCCTTGTACTCTGAGCCAATATCTTTTTCAATCTACCTTTAGCTTTCACACCTCCATGAACTGTGCCCTTATACTCTGAGCCAGTATGCTTCAATATCTTTTTCAAGCCACTTCATATACGCTCTCTAGTGTAATTACCACACATACTCGAGTATGTCACATGATATGCTATCTATGCCCGCATGCTACGTATACCTGTAATTCAGTGTGGTAAATTGGTGGACATGATCCAGCTTATTTCACGTGTTAGCAGCCTAGTTAGGGCCTGGCGTGCATGCCATGGATGCCTTACTCCCTTACCAAGACTACAGACTGTATATACCTTTGTACACTTAGTATAGTGAGTAAACGTATAGCTTAGGCTCATAACTTGCATTATACCTTACCCTGACTACCTTTATGTCCACTACTACCAATGCATTTTTGGCAAGTACGCAATTAATGCGAGAGTGATAGTTATGCAGCACTTGTGTTAACCGTACCTGCATTTACGTACACGTAGATCACTGTGAGACATACGGTAAAGGGTGGCAAGATTTGAAACTAGAAACAATTTTAGTTCACTCGCCAAATAAACTCTTATCCTTACTCTCACTACCACCCCTGGTTCAAAGGATCAAGACCTACAATATTTCGTATTCCATAATTACCGAGTGAATATTCTATTTTATAGGATAATTCACGAGAATGGTTATTCCGAGGAGGAGCGTTCTCAGTACAAGCCGGTTGTCTTTAGCAACACGGTCCAGAGCCTTGTTGCCATCCTGAGAGCTATGGAGAGACTCGGGATCGGGTACGGCAGCCCCGAGAGAGAGGTGAGTAAAGGGGTTAAAAGATATCGTGAGACGTTTGCATGGAATATTCTGGAATATGGTCATAAGTCTGTTTGTTTCTTCCCTCTCTCCTTTCTCTCTCTTCCTCTCTCTCTCCCCCCCCTTTCTCTCTCTTCCCCTCTCTCTCTCCTCTCCTCCCTCTCTCTCTTCCTCTCCTCTCTCTCTCTCCCTCCCTTCTCTCTCTCCCTCTCTCTCTCTCCCCCCTCTCCCCTCTCTCTTCTCTCCCTCCCTTCTCTCTCTCTCCCTCCCTTCCTCACTCATCCGTTAGGCCGATGTGAAGAAAGTCACATCCCTAGCCTCGAGTCTGGAGGAGATACAGTTCACTCCCGACCTGGTTGCCTGTATGAAGGGACTGTGGATGGATTCCGGTGTCCAGCTGTGCTTCCAGAGAGCTCGGGAGTACCAGTTGAACGACTCAGCAGAATAGTATGTGGCTTCACGATACTTTCATTGCGTCCTGGTGAAAACACTGCCCGATGCATACATACATGTGCACTATATACCATAATACTATGCAGGGTTTGGTCCAGGAAGCAATTAAAGGAGGGGAATATAACTTTACTATGTACAGGACTTCAGATGCATCCTCACATACTATATACCTCAAATTGTACTGTAGATGTTGCTAAATGCCCCACATCTAGTAAGTAGCTAATGTGGTCTCCACACCAGAAGGGCTGGGAAATATATATCTCTCCATGAGTATAGCAGATGAGCCTGATATATGAACTGTACCACAGGCATGCAGTTGAGCCAGAAGAACACTGTGTCCAGATAGTAGCCTTCTCAAGGCTTTGTTTTGGCTGATGCATAGCACAATACACACTTGCCTGCGTATACTTTAGGGATACAGCTGAGTGATTTACACTCTAGCGTGGCAGTAGCATGGTTCGCTTTTCCTGGTTCAGATTGGTGGCATAGCAAAACAAGAAGAAAATGTGTTCCTGGCTACTTTGCCCGTTTTATTACTTATTCAAGAGTAATGCAAGCGCATAAGCGCTGGCACAGACAGCTTTCCTCACTTCATCTACTCTCTTTCTCTCTCTCTCTCCCTCCTCCCTCTCTCCCTCTCTCTCTCCCTTCTCCCTCTCAGCTACCTGAATGCCTTGGATCGACTTGGTCAAGGAGACTTTGTCCCTACTGAGCAAGACGTCCTCAGAACCCGCGTCAAGACCACTGGGATTGTGGAGACCCACTTCAACTACAAGAGCATATCCTTCAAGTCAGTAACAGTTTAGTTTACACACTGTATATATCTTGTATTACACCTATAAATGAGTAGTTGCCCTGCATGCTGCAAAGGCATAAAAAGCTCTTTGCTTTCAATGGTATGTAGCATTCACATTTACATTTAGTATTACGCATAGAGGGCTTAATTGACTTGCATACTGCAAAGTGATAAAAAGGTTTTGCTTGTTGAGAGATGTAAGAGCGTGGTTCTATAAGCCTGTTTGTGACTGGTTTACGACTGGTTTGTGACTGGTTTGTCAGGATGTTTGACGTGGGAGGACAGCGATCGGAGAGGAAGAAGTGGATCCACTGTTTTGAGGGAGTGACTGCCATTGTCTTCTGTGTGGCTCTCTCGGCATATGACCTCATGCTGGCTGAAGATGAAGAGATGGTGAGAGAAGGAGGGAGAAGAAAGAGATGAGGGAGAGAATATGGAGGGAGAGAAAGAAGGCCGAATGTTGCAAATCTGCAGTATAGGTCGCATGACGAACATTTAAAACTGAAAATTTTATGCAGAAAAGTGTGACTTGGCCTCCATAAAATAATAGCTGTAGCTAATGATATTGGCCCAAAATGATATAGCAACAGGTATCAACGTGAAAGTTTTCAACTTTTGAAAGGGAAAGGTAAATGTGTATGTAAATACAGAAAGCGGAATGTTCATCATAATAATTATGGTGTTTTTTCTCAACATCATCATAATATGGCGCTCTTTTACACTGTACAGAATCGAATGAACGAAAGTATGAAGCTGTTTGACTCGATCTGCAACAACCGATGGTTCGAATCCACCTCGATAATCCTGTTCCTGAACAAGAAAGACCTGTTCAGCGAGAAGATTGTCAAGTCGCCACTCACCATCTGCTTCCCTGAATATACCGGTTTGTTGTGTGTGTGTGTGTGTGCGTGCGTGCGTGCGTGTGTGTGTCTGTTGAGGAAAGTAATGCAGTGCAACTTAAAGGAGGAAGAAAGGAACAAGTGGGTGGGGAGGATGAATGAGAGAGGGAGGAAGACAGAGACAGGGAAGGGGAGGGTGAAATGCTGCAATCCATGGGCTCATTGGTAGCCGTTCCTTTGTGTAGGTCCCAATACATTTGACGACGCCAAGAACTACATCCGCGAGCGATTCCTGGCCCTGAACCACGCCGGAGAAAAGAAAGAGATCTACACTCACTTCACGTGTGCCACTGACACTGGCAACGTTCGGTTCGTCTTCGACGCAGTGACAGACGTCATCATCAGAAGACATTTGCGGGCTGTTGGTCTCTACTGATGATGGCTGATGACTCGACACTTCTTGTGCATATTCCACAATTTTAACTTTGAGTGAGTCTTACGAGGCATTTTGTGTGTTAACTGTACATCCGGAAAGTTAGCACGCAATTAATAGTAGGATCTGCTCTCCCACCTCTACATACTATAGTTATTTATTGCACTTCCCTAGAGAGAAATTTTGTGATGCAGTACAAATTTACTTGCAAACTTTCACTTTCACACGTGAATTTGTGCTATTGTCCTATACAATGTGCCTTGCTGCAAAAAAAAAAATCTCTATAATTATAGCACGAAAGTATCTCCTGTGTTACTATCGTATTTAAGTTTACATGATGAATATTGATGGATATTGATATTGATATTGATATTGAGTAATGCTCATTTTATCTCTAACCTGCAGATACCTTTCACTGTCCCACAAACTAGTCTATCATTGCTAGCAATCAATACACCACCTTAATCGCAACACATGACTGTATCAAAACATGACTTAATAATTATAGAGTCTCTTCTCAATAATGTTGTTCGCATTGTCTTTATGTACATTATCATTATACATTATACTCATAATTTTCTAACAATATTATACAAATGAACGTGTTGGTATATAGATAAAGGAAGTAGCTCTAGGTATTAGCATAGTTGTGATGCACGAGTACAAAAAGGTAGGTAATCACTAGGTACAATGAATAGTTAACGATTATTCTTACTACTGCTATTACTTGCACAACTGCCAAGTATGCAGCATAATAGTATAGCTAATAATATAAGAGCAACAATAGCAATGATCCCGGCAATTATCACTGACCAGAAAACAACTATGCTAAATGCATACAGGTTCATGATGTAAACAAAAACGACACCGACAGCAAGAAACCAATAGGTCCATGGAGCTGCCGGGAAATCAACCGAAGGTATGCTCTCAAAGGCGAAAACGAAGAATAATACATGAAAACTAAAGACTAGGCCTGCAAATATAACAGTCAGTGGGCTTTGAAATGGATACAGGAACTTATAAATAAAAGATGTACTTTTAAGTTCCTGAAACTCTCCTATAAGCTTAGAAGAATGAAGACGATCAAGGATTACTCTGACCTTTTCCTGTAGTCCTTCTTTTACATTGGTTGTTGAAGTATCATTCTGTTGAAGACTTACAATAAAATCAACAGATAATCCAATAGAATACTCCTGAAACCAATAATAAGTGACTAAATAAAAGTTGATGGGTCCTAAAATGGGAAGTATATAACCGGCAGCCAACATGTACCGCAATCGGCCGTCAACTTCAATGGAATCACATGACGATTGGTGTTTATAAAATATTGAAAATGTAATACCCATAAGCATTATGCCCTGGACCAAAATTTGTCCAAGTGTATAAAAAATAAAATACATTTGAAGATGCCATGCAGATTTGACATTGCTGGTATCAAATACTTGAGACATACCTTCAACTTTTTTCGGAAAACGTTTTTCGTTCAAATTGCAGGAGGCAATACTCGGAACGGCGATTCGTACAGCGAAAACAAAGACAACCATTAAGATTGCCGACATAACCAAAAGAGCGCAACTGATACCATCGTCTTCTGTTTCAAAACAATAAGCCTCGGAAGTGATGAAGTCAAAAATGGCACAAATCAATAGTGGATAAAAGATCAGCTCGGACATTATCACTCTTCCAAAATCAAAAGCGTTGATTAAACGTTGACCTGTTGTACTGTTGTTGTCGGGGTTTAAATCAAGCTGCTCCTTTTGCCTGCATGTTGCTCCACATCTCCTAAAGGGGCAGCTACAAATAAGAGCTAAAACATCGATAATCTCCAAAACAGTGGCTAAAATGCTGAGCGCAAGGTGAAGAATGTTGAAGATTTCATCATTTCCCCGTGAAAATCTTACAATGGATAGTACAAGCACTGAAATAACGATAAACAACTCAGCACCTACCCATAAGGCACGACCATATTTATTTGTAAAAGGAAAAGCCATGTTGCTGTGAAGCAACCATCCTTTGGAGCGAGCTCTACATAGAACTGGTGTCATATTGTTAATCTTCTCAAATGGCTTGTCCACCTCATTGCTACGCTTCGAATTCAAACGGTTTATAATATCAAATGCGTGGCAACAATTACACATTGGTGTCTTTGGCTCTTCAGGCTCTTTTGATAAACTTTCATGCATGGCATCAATGAATTTGCCATAAAAGCTATAGTTTAGAAGCTTTTTCTCATTTTCGCTCTCGATATCTATACCCTGTTGATTTGCTTCCTGCTGTGGTTCAGGGTGGGGGAGTGACTGGATGGTAGATTGTGGAACTTGCTCACCGCTTGTGTACAACGACAGATCCCCTTCGCTCGCAATCAGCTCCGTCTGTTTTGGCGGGAGTCCGACAGCAGGGTCTTGCGGACTTTCCGCCGTCACAACAGGTCGACGAAGAACCGGCGAGGACTGAAGGAAAAACAGTGTCGATATGACATAATATGCACTGAGACTGCGAAGTGCATGCAAAACCTCGCGCCGGCAAACTAACTTGCTGAGGCGGCGACGCCGAGTTCTGTGGCCCGGTATCCTCCTGCGGTAGGCTCATCCTGCCGCTCCTATATACGAGACCGAACTTCTCGCTATAGTAAGAACGAGGGGCGAGATCCAGAAAAATATATTGTTGTTGTCTTTCTACTATGGGCAGCAACCCCTTTACTCCCATAAGGTAATTGAAACCATGGCAGTGAATAGCCGCATGTGGCGTATCATCCCGCCAAAAAACGCTCTTCTGATTGGTCTCTCTTTGCGCATGTCTCACACCTAATCTGCACTGAGAGTTAGTGCGCATGCGTCAGCGCAGGTTTACGTACTCGTCGCGTATGCGAGTGTACTCTCACAATCGCTCTTTGTTCGCACGGGCTGGAGTTGCGCACGGTGCTAGCGGCGATGGAAGCGCTATCAGCAGAGAAGTGGTCGCTGTGTTTGGACAACGAGGGGCGAGTCTTGGATCAGTACAACGTACGGAAAATAGTTTTTCACAAGGTAATCAACGTTAACCACGTCTAAACTAATAGTGATTAGTATGTGGGCATTGTATATAATTATAAACCTTATGGCAGCTTTTTACTAGTGCTTATATATAATGTAGGGAATATGTGAAGATATACGACATGAAGTTTGGCCATTTTTGCTGGGGTATTACCCGTTCAATTCGACCAGCGAAGAAAGAAAGAGAATCGATGACGAGAAAGGTATAACTGGCTATACTATAGTCTCTTATTCTCAGACCATTTTCCCTCTCCAAATCATATAAAACGTATGTGCATGTTCATATCTAACAGTTTTGCCAATTTCTCTGTGGTTTACACACTCAGTGAAACTGCTTGGCATAACTACTCACGCAACATCTAGCTATGATAAGTAGTTCATTTTCTTTTTCAATTGAAGACGTAGTCTTATGCTCACAGGTTTAGTAGACTTTATACCACTGCAGGAGTGTAGCTAGTAGCTAACAGTTTGTCTTGTGTTGCTCTAAAGAAGCTGTTGTGTCTCAGAGTGTATACGCACACCTCCACAATTGGGGCGAAACCGCAAGAGGTTCTTTTGAGCTCCCATTTACACCGTCAAAGCAACAGGGACATGAATGGGGGAGGGCTACACAGGCATGTCATACTTCACACTGAATGCAGTGTTAATTATTGTTGCCATGTGTTAGTTAGCTACATACCACAGTATGATTGAGATATTTTCACACTTCTTAGGTAAGGTATGAGTCTTTGCTGGCATCTTGGAGCAAATCCAACAACTTTGAAGAGTTTGATGACAATTTTGCAGAGGATGCAAAAATTATCGGTACGCCTAACATTCTATCTGTATTTTGTATTGTGTACACCTTTTTGGATTCTTTTGCATGCTTTATAAGTCATAGTCCCCGCAAGTAAGAAGCTCTATTAAGAGAATATTACAGGTGCAAAGTACGGCAACTGTTATCGTTTCAAACTACAGGCATATTTTCCGACTCTGTGGTATGCTTGATAGTCTTCTCGTTGTGATTCTTACGCAGAGAATGACCAGCAGGCGAACCGATAGGACTTCAGATTTTCTTCAGCGATGAAAACATTCACAACGTACACGTTCTTGAAAGATACTGAAGACTTTTGCATTACTCAGACCTGAAATAGGTAACAGCACCCTCAGTGCGACTTCCATTCACCGTCTAAAAATTATGTTGCAGGCTATGCCAGGGAATGAGCACATTATGGGCCGTACGCTGATGGTACTAAATAATGAGCACCAAACCTTCTGGTGCTTTTGATCCATTCATGAAAACAGTGTTAAAAATATACGAAACGTAAATCCATGTGTTTATTGAATAGACACTCCGATCTGCAGGGAAAGAGTCTTTGATGATTTAACCTTTTTCAGAGCCACGGAGGGACCTGCTAACTGTGCCGCACGTTAGACAGCCTCTTTTTGACCATTCGGGAGCCTCAATTCGTGATCCATGCAGCTAAAATGATATTGTTTTTTTTCCAGACCAATATAAGAAGGAGATCAGTGGCTTTTTGCATAAGGGTAGTAAAATTGAATACCACATGGGTAATAAAAGTTTTTTTAAGGGGGAGAAAGTTTATTTTCAGGTGGTTGTACTAATTTCAAGATTGGGAACTCGATTGACGGTGCTAGAAGGGACTTCTGGGAAGGTAACGTAACGTGCTTAAACTGTTTTCTCTTTCATCATACATTACCGAATTATAGGGACACCTTGGGATTTAGATTAAAAGGTGTCATTAGGGAGTACATAATTATTAGTATGCCAATGGATCGAACAAGGGTCTATATAGAGAGGTGTGTTTTGCGTTAGGAGTATTGTGCTTATAAGGGGAAAATCT